GGGGGTTTAAAAAAAAAAAAAATTTTTTTTCTTTTTCTTTTTTTTTTTTTTTTTTTTTAGGTAGGATTTCACACTGTAGCCCAGGCTAGCCTAGAACTCACTATGTTTGCCAGGTTGTCCTCCAACTTGTAATTCTTCTGGATCAAGAATCAAGACACCATGCCTTTAGTCCTAGCACTTGGAAGGGGCAGGCAGAAGGCCAGTCTGGTTTACTTAGTGAGTTCCAAATTGGCTAGAACTACAGGAATATCCTGTCTCAGGAAATGAAACAAACAAACAAAGCTACTGATAAATTTGGGGGCTGGAGAGATGGCTCAGCAGTTAAGAGCACTGACTACTCTTGCAGAGGACCTAGGTTTAGTTCCCAGCACCCACATGGTGGCTAACAACAGACCATAACTCCAGTTGAAAGACCCTCGAGCTGTAGCCCCTTCAACTTTGAAAAACTGGCAGCCGTGAGAAAAAATGTTCTAACCCTGAGTGGAAAAACCCCAGAAACCCAGATGTGCTCAGAAACAAGCGGAACAACAGGCGGAAGTAGATACTGATCTAAATTCCCCGAACCCAACTGTCAGTCACGCCAGCTCCCCACCAGCTGGCCCCACCAGTGCCTGACTTAGACTCTCCAATCATAAGTCTGTTACCATGCATCTGCTTCTGTAAGAACCTGCTTCCTGCCTTAGGTATATAAGTGCTACCCCAGACCCACCCGGCGTGCTCACAGCTCCGAGCCTGGTGCGCCTGCAGGTACCTGTGTACTTCAATAAACCCCTCATGCTTGTTGCATCCAGCAGTGGTTGGTTTTGTTCCGGGGTAATTGGGGCGCAGTCTTTCATTTGGAGGTTCCACCGAGATCCTCCGCCCGCGGCCCGGAGCAACCCTGACCTTGCTGGGAGGTAAGCTGGCCAGCGCCCTGTTCTGTCTCGCTCCCGCTTTGTGTTCCTCGTTCTGTGTTCTGTGTCTTGCCGCGCTGCGATTGTGGGTCGACCTCTCTGTACCTGGGCGGTTCTTGGAAGGGAGCTGACGAGCTCAGGCCTTCCTGCCGCCACCCTGGGGGATGCCCCAAGGGTCTGAGGAGCCCGATATTTTGGGGCTCAGCACGCATCTGAAGGATACGTGCATCTGGGGAGCGAAGTGTCAACTTCGCCGTCTGAATTTGTACTTTCAGTTTTTCTCGGAGTCGCACTAAGCGGTATCTCGTCGCCGGCTGTCTATTTTTGTTGTCTCTGTTGTCTGTCTGTCTCATTGTAATTTTAGAAGACCCCACAATGGGGCAAGGACTAACCACCCCTTTGAGTCTTACCCTAGACCACTGGAAAGAAGTTAAGAGCAGAGCCCACAATCAATCAGTAGAGATAAAGAAAACTAAGTGGGCCACTCTCTGCTCCTCTGAATGGATCACCTTTAATGTAGGTTGGCCGGGAGAAGGAACCTTTGATAAAAATATTATTTCCTCAGTGAAGAACAAGATATTCCAGCCGAGCGGTGGACACCCGGACCAAGTAGCCTACATTGTGACCTGGGAAGATTTGGCCATCAACCCACCTCGGTGGGTGGCGCCCTTTGTGCGCCCAAATCTATCTGCCTCTGCTCCCCCAGAACCTCCCTCTTCCTCCACCCTATACCCGGTACTCTTGAAACCAAAACCAAAACCCGTTTTGCCTCCTGACGACTCTTTCCCAAAGGACTTGGACTTGTTGCCCGACAATCCCCCTCCATACAACCCCGCCCCGTTGAATCCGCAGGTCGCACCACCGGCTGGCGAGGTCAACCGACCGCGTTCCCCGCACCATCCCCCGTGGTGGGGAGGCTCAGAGTGCGGAGAGATCCAGCGCCCCCAGAGGAGACCTCCCGACTGTTTCCTCTCGGCTCAGCAAGCGGGCCTGGGAATCAGCTGCAATACTGGCCTTTTTCGGCCTCTGACCTTTATAACTGGAAGCAACATAACCCCCCATTTTCCCAGGACCCCCCGTAGCCCTCACCAACCTTATAGAATCTATTCTTCTCACCCATCAGCCCACCTGGGACGATTGCCAGCAGCTCTTACAGGCTCTCCTCACCACTGAGGAGAGACAGAGAGTGGTGCTGGAGGCACGAAAGAATGTACCAGGAGAAGATGGGAGACCTACTCAGCTACCTAATGAGATAGATACTGCCTTTCCCTTAACCAGACCAGACTGGGACTTCAACACAGCAGAAGGTAGGGGACACCTACGCCTCTATCGCCAGTTGCTTGTAGCAGGCCTTCGAGGGGCAGGGTGCCGCCCCACCAATTTGGCTCAGGTAAGAGCAGTGACCCAGGGTCTGGAGGAACACCCCACTGCGTTTTTAGAGAGATTAAAAGACGCTTACAGGAGGTACACCCCGTTCAACCCTGATAGCCCCGACCAAGAAATAAATGTTTCCATGTCCTTTATTTGGCAGTCTGCCCCGGATATACGGGGCAAGCTGCAGAGGATGGAAAATCTGCAAGGACAGGGGCTACAGGACCTCCTTAAAGAAGCAGAGCAGATTTTTAATAAAAGAGAGACCCAGGAAGAAAGAGATGATAGGTTAAGAAAAGAGGCAGAGGAAAGGGAAAACGTACGAGATAAGAAGAGAACTAAAGAACTTAGTAGAATCTTGGCCACCGTAGTTAATACTAGCCAAGAGAGGACAGGAGAGGGTAGGAAGGGAAGGCCCCGGCTGGAGAAGGACCAGTGTGCCTACTGCAAAGAGCACGGGCACTGGCTAAAAGACTGCCCCCGGAGAAAAAACAAGCGTCAGACTGACAAGCTCCTCACCCTAGACTACGGGAGTCGGGGCCAGGAACCCCCACCTGAGCCCAGGCTAACTCTACAAGTTGGGGGACGACCAGTTACATTCATGGTAGATACAGGAGCGCAGCATTCTGTATTGACCCAGACCCAAGGACCCTTCAGCGAGAAAACGGCCTGGGTAGAAGGAGCGACGGGAGCAAAGAGATATCGATGGACAACAAAAAGAGAGGTACACCTGGCTAAAGGAAAAGTGACCCATGCCTTCTTGTACGTGCCAGATTGTCCATACCCGCTGCTCGGCAGAGACCTACTTCCCAAACTAAGGGCTCGAATACATTTCGAGGGGAATAAAGTAAAGGTAACGGGGCCTGGGGAAACCCCTATACCCGTCCTCACCCTCAGCCTAGAAGATGAATATCAACTTTTTGAACAACCTCAGGAGGCCCCAAGAGAAATATCCCATTGGCTCAAACAGTATCCAGCCGCCTGGGCTAAAACAGGGGGGCCGGGGTTAGCTGAGAACCACCCTCCCTTAATAGTAGAGCTCAAGTCTACGGCCACCCCAGTCTCTATTAAACAATACCCTATGTTGGCGGAGGCCCACCAGGGTATTAGGCCACACATAAAGCGGTTATTGGACCAAGGAATCCTGACTCCATGCCGGTCACCTTGGAATACTCCCCTCTTACCTGTGAAGAAGCCAGGGACTGAGGACTACAGACCGGTCCAGGATCTGAGAGAGGTTAACAAGAGAGTAGAAAATATACACCCCACTGTCCCCAACCCTTATAATCTGCTAAGCACCCTGCCGCCTTCTCACTCATGGTATACAGTTCTAGACCTTAAAGATGCCTCCTTCTGCTTAAGATTAAGCCCGAAAAGCCAGCCCTTCTTTGCCTTTGAATGGAAGGACCCTGAGCTGGGTGTCTCTGGGCAATTGACATGGACCCGGTTGCCCCAGGGATTTAAGAACAGTCTCACCCTATTTGATGAGGCCCTCCACCATGACCTGGCTGACTTTAGGGCCAAGCACCCCGAGCTGGTTCTTCTACAGTATGTGGATGACATCCTGCTGGCAGGCAGCACGGAAGAGGACTGTAAAGCAGGTACAGGGGCCCTGTTAGAAACGCTCGGACAATTGGGGTACCGGGCCTCCGCTAAAAAGGCCCAAATTTGCCAAAAAGAAGTTACATACTTAGGGTATAAATTGTTTAATGGACAAAGATGGTTAACTGATGCTCGGAAGCACACCATCCTCGGCATCCCAACCCCTAAAACCCATAAACAAGTAAGGGAATTTCTAGGGACAGCTGGATTCTGCCGGCTATGGATTCCTGGCTTCGCGGAACTGGCAGCCCCCCTGTTCCTGTTGACAAAGCCGAGGGCTCCCTTCATCTGGACAGAGGATCAACAAACCGCATTCGATGAGATCAAAAGAACCTTACTTTCCTCCCCGGCCTTGGGGCTGCCTGAAATAACCAAACCTTTTGAACTCTTTGTAGATGAAAAGCAAGGATTTGCAAAAGGAGTGTTAGTCCAGAGGCTGGGACCCTGGAAACGGCCAGTAGCATACCTATCAAAGAAATTAGACCCGGTAGCAGCGGGATGGCCCACTTGTTTGAGAATGATAGCAGCCGTCGCAGTCTTGATTAAGGATGCCAACAAACTGACGCTGGGTCAGAGGGTGACCATCTTGACCCCTCATGCCGTTGAGTCCCTCCTCCGGCAGCCTCCAGACCGCTGGCTATCGAACGCGAGGTTGACTCATTATCAATCTCTGTTGCTGGATGCTGATCGCGTCCACTTTGGGCCAGCTGTCACCTTAAACCCGGCCACGCTGCTACCAGAACCAGAAGGCCCTCTGGAACATGACTGCCAGCAGGTGCTGGCTGAGGTCCACAGAACTCGGCCTGATTTGAGTGACCAGCCTCTCCAGGACGCGGAGCTCACCTGGTATACAGATGGAAGCAGCTTTCTTATGGATGGCCAGAGATGAGCCGGAGCGGCAGTGACCACTGACACCCAGGTGATATGGGCAAGCGCATTACCAGCAGGAACTTCGGCTCAGAGAGCGGAGCTCGTTGCACTGACTCAGGCCCTCACACTGGCAGAAGGTAAGAAACTGAATGTATACACAGATAGCAGATATGCCTTTGCCACTGCGCATATTCATGGAGAGATATACAGAAGGAGAGGGCTGTTAATGTCAGAAGGAAAAGAGGTCAGAAATAAAAATGAAATCTTAGCCTTGCTAAAGGCCCTGTTCCTCCCAAGGAAGCTGAGTATAATGCATTGCCCGGGGCACCAGAAGGGTAACCACCCCGAAGCTCGGGGAAATCGCCTAGCAGATGAGACAGCTAGAGCTGCGGCCCTGAGAACTATGATTCTCACCACTCAAGTATCACCAGAAAGAGACAAAATGGACCCAGCCTACCCTTCTCGAGATTATGCCCCCGAAGATCTTGAGATACTCAAACAATTGAAAGCCACTTATGATCCAGAAATTGGCTGCTGGATACATGAGCAGAAAATTGTTTTACCACAGCATTCTGTAAAAGAACTGTTAGACCAACTCCATAAGTGGACACACTTAGGAGTAAAGAAAATGAAAACCTTGCTACAAAAAGAAGAAACCCTCTGTTATCTTCCCAACAAAGATCAAATCCTACAACAGATAGTCAGGAACTGTAAGGCCTGTGCCTTAGTCAATCCAGGGAAGAATAAGGTCGGACCCGGGGTCCGAGCCCGCGGGCACTGGCCCGGGGTACACTGGGAGATAGACTTTACTGAAGTCCAACCAGGAATGTATGGGTACAAATATCTCCTAGTCTTTGTAGATACCTTTTCAGGATGGGTTGAAGCATACCCCACCAAACATGAGACTGCAAAGATGGTGACTAAAAAGTTCCTAGAAGAAATATTCCCTCGTTATGGGATGCCGCAGGTACTGGGCTCTGATAACAGGCCGGCCTTTGTCTCACAGGTAAGCCAGATGGTGGCCAAGTTATTGGGGATACATTGGAAATTACATTGTGCTTATAGACCCCAGAGCTCAGGACAGGTAGAAAGAATGAACAGAACGATCAAGGAGGCTTTGTCTCGATTAACGCTTGCAACTGGCTCTAGAGACTGGGTACAGCTCCTGCCACTGGCCTTATATCAGGCCCGGAATACTCCGGGCCCCCATGGATTAACCCCCTTCGAAATCCTCTATGGCTCACCACCCCCTGCCATATCATTCCTTGATGCTGATATTTCTGATTATGCTAACTCCCCCTCCCTCCAGGCACACCTGCAGGCCCTGCAGTTGGTGCAGCAAGAGATTTGGAAGCCCCTCGCTGCCACATACCAAGACTCCACAGCCACACCAGTGATTCCCCATCCTTTTCAGATTGGGGATAGTGTTTGGGTTCACAGACACCAAACCAGGAACCTCGAACCTCACTGGAAAGGACCGTATACAGTACTACTGACCACCCCTACGGCCCTAAAGGTGGACGGGATTGCGGTGTGGGGAGCCGCCTGCCGTCCCTGCAGATGCCATTACAAGATGGCGCTCACATCCGGTTCATGCTGAGCAGTAAATAAGTCAGTACGCATGCCCGAAGTAATTTTCCACCTTCTAGTCTCTGCCTACCTCGTGGCGTGATATGGGCTGATGAGTTTGCGACCAATCAAGAGTTGCCACGTCCAAGACGGGCTTACTAACCTATATAAGGGCTGGGTGTCCGACATTCGGGGTCTTCGCCCTGTAAGCTTATGCTCTCCCTCTCAAGATGCATTAAAGCTTTTCTGCAGAAGGATCCTGAGTGTGCCGCGTCGTTCTTGCTGGCGAGACGATAGCGCGGGACAACTGGTGCCGAAACCCGGGAATTCGACCAAACCATCGTCAGCACCATCGGAGACCCCTTGAGTTCAAGGAGGATTCAGAACTGCAGGTAAGGACGTTCAGAGAGGTATGTTTTTTCTGGACTTTGGCTTGAACCTGTTTCCGCCTTGGAAAGGTAGCTTTGAGGCCTTGGTTATCATTCTGGGAGCACTTATAGTTTTGTTGTATAAAACATGCCAGGCCGTTGTGGCGGAAAGTCGAAATGTTCTTGAGGAAGTCCAGGATAGCATGTCAGAAACTGAACGCAGTGAGAGGTTAGGTGCACGAAAAAAGAAACGGGCCCCAAATAAGGAAA